TGGCCTTCCAGTCACAATCTTCGGGCCATTATTCAACACGCTGGTTTCGAAATTGAACGGGAGTGCGGCGTCCTTCGAGTACTCCAACGGATTCATCTGGATATATTCCACAGTGGACCCGACAAACTTTAAGATTGACGCGGGCGAATCCTCCAGTCCAGCCAAGCAATCAATTTCTTCTATGCTGAAGCAGATGAACGGTAAATCCTGGTTTGTTAGGGCAAAGCTCATGTTCAGACTCGAAAGGTCAAGCGGGGAGAAAGCGGGTATTCTTGCCGAGCTCCTGGAAGTTTCTCATATACATGTCACCTCTTCTCATAAGCCCATCACTCACTCTTAGGGCCGACATGGATGTTGCAAGGGGTTGGAGGTAGGCAAAACCGCTGCTTTCGTCTATCCTTTGTGTTTCTTTTGTTCCTTTCGAATCAAGTACAAGTTGCCCAATAAGGAATTAAAGGAGCTTTTCAAATCTTTTGACAGGAGCTATATTTACTGATATCTGTGCGATCTAACAATCACGTTCACATTAGGGCCAGAGAATTGCTTGAAATGGTCTTCAGCCAAACATTCATCGTAACACCTCTAGGAACTTCCAGACCAGGAATCAAATGCCAAGATTTACACTAAGCAAAAGCAAGCCTGATGGGACTGCAATACTACGTAGCCAGAAGGGGTTATAGAGCACGGATTCTGTGGTGATTGGTCCAGCCTTGTCAGATCGGCACTAGATTAGAATCCTATTCGGAATATAGCTCGGAGGCGTGTTTGCTACAACAAGACCGCCTTCCGTAGAAACAACGCTCTTTGCGTCTTCGGCGAGTTCGGGTATGATTGCATCAATAGCCAGAATGACTTGGTCCATTGAAAAAGCCCTGGTGTGAAAACCCCACGGGCGGAGGATCACAACGGTTTCCACGGTCGCCGTCGCTGACCACAGCTGCCTCCCTGATCCTCTTGACAATGACACACACTGCCTAGCCGGACAAGCGGCCATGCGACATCTGAAAATGCGTCTCAGCACGTTGACTGACTTCAACAGTTGGAAATATGGGACAATTGAAAAACGCATTATATTGCAGGCACACGATGAGCGCGGAATTGGGCTTCAACGTTGAACATAAACTTCACGAGACGCACCTTTTACGCTGTCCATCGTTTTTTGACGGGGGCTCGATGATGATCATTTTCAATCATCAACCGGTCATCTCAGCCCAAGGAGCCGTAGAAAAGGGCCTTCCCATCTTGCTCACCAGCAGCAATGATCAGCGCATCAACATCCCAAGCTGCTTTCGACCGCTCAAACAAAGCTCTGGTCAGCGTTGTCCAGACAACGTATGGAAAATACGATATAAACCTGCTGATGTCCAGTATTGTCTCGCCTAAAAGCATGTCCCGCCCTGTGTCAAAGTTTGCCGAATGGCTTGCCAGGGCTCCCGTCCAAGACAAGTTTAGTCTTTGTGGGCTCCTCGCTCTTGTATGCTGGATATCTTACAGCCTCGCACGCCGATTCAGCTATTTGCCTTTGAGGTTGCAACACGCAGTATCTTGGAGACGCTTCTTCCAGGCGCCAACGCCAGGCGTGCTCCAGTGGCTGGATATCCCGTCATACTTGCAAGGGGGAGTACTTGCAGCCCTGGTGATTGCCAACATTATTGCAATCAGTCTTCATGCTCAGACCTGGGCGGATGTGCAGAAGCGAGCCGGATGCTTGGCGGTCACCCACCTTGTTCCCCTCTGCTCCGGGTTTAGCTTCAGCCTTCCGGCCCACGTCTACCGTGTCGAACGGGGCACGTTCCAGTGGGCCCATAGGTGGCTAGGCCGCCTTTGCGTGCTGCATTGCCTTCTTCATGGGTCCGTCTTAGGCACAGTTGCTCGAAATACAAGCCTTGGAGCTCCCCTCGTCATCCCACTCCTGGTACGTGAGGCGGCTAGAGAACGGCAGCCTTCCCATTTCCCCAAAGGATGTCTGACTAGAAGTGGCTAATATTGAACAGGCCGGATGCAGTTTCGTCTCGATCTTGCCGTGGACGCTCGCTGCGATTCTTCGACGGTGGCCGCAACTTGGCCTCAAGATCCACCATATGCTTGCTTCGATCGCCACTGGCGCCCTTTTCTACCATTTGATCGACCGGGTATCGTCCTACCGCTGGGTTTTACTAGGCGGTATTTGCGCCGGATTTGCCTGGAGCGCGGGGACATGTCTACATACCATGTGGCTCCACAGATCGTGGCGCATCACCTCTCGACGGGCCCTCGCGCGGTCTTCCAACAGGCTCTTATGGCTTGATATTGCGGTACCGGCGGAGTGCGTGACTCAACCGGGGCAGTATGTACAGCTCTGGATGCCACGCCTTGGAGTAAGGTCCTGCTTGCAGCTTCCCGCATTCTACGTGGCTTCGGTAGGTACAGGGCAAAGCAACCCAGGAGCACCGACAACTCATGTGTTACGCATAGTGGCCCGGCCTGGACCGGGCGTGACCGGAAGGATCGCACAAGCTGCGGATCGTGCGCACTCGACGATTCATTTTCCAGTGTGCGTGCTGGGTCCCTACGGGCACGCACCTCACCTGGGCCAGTACGGGACTGTCGTCTTCGTACTTGAAGATATTGGACTCTTCCGCGCGTTGCCGTTCATACGACATCTCGTTCAAGAAAGCCGAAGCCGGAGGAACACGGTGCGACGGCTAGAGGTCCTGTGGCAAGTTAGGCTGAAAAATTTCAGTAGGTGGCCTTCTTCTTCTCAGATGCTTTGCGGTGTCATGTGCTTATCGAAACAGACCATCCCACCTGGGTGGGGGATGAAATCTCGCAAATCCTTGAACTCGACCGTATGTTTGACCGAGACGATTGTCCCGAGCATAGACATCGAGATGACCGGGGATTTGATGTCAGTGAATTCTCCTTCTCGCTATAAATTTTACAGGGCTAACTCGGTGGCAGATCCTGCAATTTACCACACATATCCTAGATACTCGGCCCGTGGACCAGATTCGTTACCGCAACCGTACGCGCTTGAAATACCATTTTCATGCCATCAATATCGCCAAGGAGCTGGCACGCCTTATGGATGGTACAAGCGGAACGACTGCGGTTTCGGGTATGAGCGCTCCGTCGGTTACCCCTTGGATTATGCCAACGCTAACTGGTCTTAGTATGCGCAAGCAACCCGTTACGCGCAGCAGTACGCCGTTTCGTTCATCCTAGAACGAGTGGCGATTTTCGATTGATTGACCTGGACCTTGAACCCTCTTGCACGTGGTGGGCGGACGATGACCCTTTCTACCATGCAACATCCGAAACGATTACAGCCTCCGACCGAGCAGAATCTTCCAATACTGGCACAGTGTTTGAGCCCAGTTGGACGCCGGCTCTTTTGCCTGTTGCACATACTGTCCCTGAACAGGCCACGCGGCTCTCAGGAGAAACATTGGTCGATAGTAGACGATCCGGACAGGGCGATGAGTCGGCGGTTGGGGCCCAGAGTGCCAATCACAAAAAGTGGGTTCGGCAGAAAATCATCGAAGGCGGCTTCTAGGGTAGCCAAACATGTTAATAAGTTACCCGGACATAATCATCCATTTGGACAAGTCGTAGGCCTACCGCGTTTATCTCTGTGACCGTACATGTGTTTGTCCGGGATGATTGTTTGTCACGTCGCTCTAGCCTAGCACAGCGTGAGGCTAGGATTAATGACACGGGATGCGACCGGAGCTGCCTACGCCAGGTGACAACCGCTATTGCGAAACGCGAAAGGTTCACAGACCCTGTCGCGTCCAGCCTTACTGAACTCGGGACTTATCGATAAGCCACAACATTGGGAACAGAAGGCCTATGGCCCATCACGAACTGAGTAGCATGTTTGAGACCTCGTGTCACAAACGCCTGTCCGTCCTCTACGACCAGGCTGTTCTCCGGCACAACGAGCAACTTCAGTCGTAGAACAGAGAGCTCCGCCAAGGTCCATGGCCGCTGCGAATATCATATAACTTCCATTTAATTAAGAACTTTTCTTATTGCGTCTGCTAATCTCGATGTTACATATATTGAATTGACAGAAAACTGGATTGAACCCAAGTATCCACAATAGGGTACACATCGATGGCCAGGCATTCAAGGAGAGGTACCCGACACTGAAAATTTTTGACAGATATTCGATTCCTACAGTGTTGAGAACCCATGAATGATTAGTTAGACGGTTTATACCCGATACATGTATAATAGACATGAAACTGTCAGCCCAGATCCTTCTATCATGAGTATAAGTCAGGGGAAGTTTCTCTCATTGAGAGAGACTTCAGACTTAAACATCTCAGTGGTTTTGCGTAAATGCTTCCTCAGTATCATCGGAACCTCTTATTTGAAATACAGTCTTGGTCTTGTTCTCCCTGAGGTCGCACATTGGAGATCATTACACAAAATCATGTGTCTTAAATAATGGCCAGTAACTTCACATTAAGACTCTAGGATCCGCACTTGGATTTAAAAAACGTTTACCATTGAAGATGCCGACCCGCTTGATTAATTGTGCGCCATTTCTGGAGACGAGTATTACAGGGAGTTCCGCCGGTTTTTTATAGCCTATGGAGAAGAAGGGATACGTGTTGGGTAGGAGCGTGATCAATTCAAAGTATCTGGAATGGAAAATGAACCCCAGCAGGCCTTTACGCAGCTTGTTGTTGAGTATCGTGTTGAGCTTGAACCCAACTAACGGATTCTGTTTTCAAGTAGGGCGTGTTATGATTTAAGGCTGTTCAAGCCGCACCATCAGATTTGATTCCCGCATGGTCTATACGAAGAACCAAGTTGATTTAGAACCAACTTGATCTGCTTGTTGTATATGTAGTCTCAGTCATTCCCTCTGGCTTAACCTTCCTTTAAACAATAACAGGCTCAGACTCTGTCGCACAACGGGCACAGTAGAGGAACCACGTATGTGGTGATATTGGATCCATTTCTGACAGACAGTCGAATATTATGTATATTACAGCCCAACAAGTAGATCAGTCCAATTCCACTCGCTCAATGGACATCAATTCACTCAGCCGTCTCTCCGTTCTTGTCGGCCTTTGATCATCACTGGGCAACTGGCAAAGTGAAGCCGTTGTCTCCATCTGTGACAAGGCCACATGATGGGGATTTCCATCCTCGTATATGGAATCAGTAGCTAGTCCATTGCTGATCTGGATACTTGCGGGGGCTTTCCCACTCTCCTTCTGACGGGTTCTTCGCCGTGTCAAGATGAATGCACCCAATGTGACAGCTATCAGTAAGAAACCCAACGAGACTCCAAGACCAATTCCGAGTTTACTTGTACTCGATAGACCGTGCTTATCTTTGGAAGCCGGAGTATCTATCAAGGACGATGTAGCTTTGGAAATAACCCCGGTAGGTTGAGAACTTTGAAGTGCTGTCGTGGTGCTTCCAGCCATGGATGAAGATGGTTTGACGAAATTATAGGAGACTGGTGGTGGATCATCTGTGTACCGTTTCGATATCCCAAATTCAATACCGGTAATATTGTCACCATAAGATTCTCCCTGTGCTGTGAATGGCTGGAGTACGAAGTGGCACCCATTTTCAGCGTAGTCTCTCCGAGTCGCAATCCATATGTAGCTATTATTGTTGGTTATTTTATCTATTCAAAATAGGTAAATAGTCCGTACAAAGCTACAGGGAATTTTGGGTTGATATCTCACCTTTCAATTTGCGATTAATGCTACCACAGCTCTCGTAAATCGAGATGAGGGGGGCGACAACATCCCATGTCACGTTCACCAGGTCTGCCACTATGAAACGATTCTCAGCTTCTGTTGGGAAGATGAATTTTCCTGTCATGCTGGTATTCGCGATATGAAGGAGTAATATTGTTGTGTCGCAGGGGTCCGTGGATGCAAAACGCCATGACAACCAGGCGCATTCCACGTAAATCATTGAGGAATGTTGGGTATGGAAAGCAGCAGCTCCCGTTAATTTCTTTTTTTATTTTTTTAAATTTTTTAGTCCCATTAGTACAGTCAGACGATACTCTGCTGAACTTCACCCAAATCTTAAGAAGATCCCTTACAATTAATGCCATAACGGAAGCGAAGCTGACAAGGTCTTCCTCCATATGTTAATTAGGAAGACCAACACGCTCATGGCCAGATTTGCGGCAATAGTACGCCCACCGCATACGCAGCGGAGCTTCGACCCACCGAGATGGCATTCCAACGTGCGACAAGTTGTGGGATCAGCTTTAGAATATTGGAACTAGGGAGATGGATTACGATAAGGTCGATTCTCACCCGTAGACCCGACATTGGCCGTCCCACATCCGCATTGAACATTTTAATCTTATAACCACTATTTCCCTACTCAATTGTATGTTTCTATGTTCCGTTTGGTCTCTGCTTAGATTTGTTCATCTATTCTATCGGATATCTAGTCCTGAGGCTCATGCCCTTGGGTCATATTTGGATATGTGGTCATCAGTTCGCCGTTGCAAAAATAAAAAGTGAAATGGAATGGATTCGAAGGATAGCGTCAATTTCCACAACACAGAATTTACCCCCCTTGTTGCAGCTTTTACTACTATTCCCAATTCGACGTGAAAGAAGAGAAATTAAATAGACGAAGAAGAAGGGAAAGAAAGGAAGGAAAGAAAGCAAAACCCCTGATACATTGATTGTGTGGTGTGTGATTAGGGTGGTGACAGCAAGAAATTGTAGGGATGAACGCCGGCTCCCTGTCGCCCATTGTCCCTCTTGCCCCCATACCATTCCTTATTTTGACTAACGATCGAGGGGAATTTGATTTTGGGCTCTGCTCAATCTGAAGCTCTTCCCGAGGCCCTGCTCTACTATTGCTATCCCTTTCGAGGCCATTGGCTAGCGCCAGGTGACACACGCGGTCGCGAACGCGAAAGGTTCACCGACCCTGGCGCGCCCAGCATTGCGGAACTCGTGACTTACCCATAAGCCACAATATCGGCAATAGGGGCCCTACGTCCCTGAACGGATAACGACTGAGCATGTCGCGTAGGAACGCTAACCTCCCCCGGTCGGTCATCGAAGAAACGTGTGAAGAACCATCTGAAGCAGCCCTTAATGCGCGAGCGCACCGAGTCTCATATCAAAACGCTCGAGCAGCACCGAGACCTCGCGTCATAAAAGCCCGCCCACTACCACCAGGCTGTTCACTTCATAACGAGCAACTCCAGTCAGAGAATAGAGAGCTCCGCCAAGGGTTCAAGGCCGCCGCGAATATCATACAACTTCCATTTCAGTAAGGACTTCTTCGTATTGCGTTTGCTAATCTGAATGCTACATATATCGAATCGGTTTTTAGAAAATCCAATGAAAGGCAATAGGCCTGTGGTTGAGTGAAACATAGTTTCACAGCACAAAAGCGAGTAGGCCAAGAGGGAAGAGACAATATGCAACTGTATTAAACTCTATGCCATTTCTTCTCGTCCTTGGTAACAGAAAGTCGAAGAACAGTGGAAATCCGGTGCCACTGTACATCTCAAGCACCAGATCAGTCATGGCGAGCATGGTCAAGTGGCCAGCCTTCAGGCGTTAGCTGCCCACAGAACTCAGGGTTATAGACGGTGCTTGTCTTGTCTAGGGTAGCCACATACCGATTGCGGCCCCCACGTTTGCCGTGTGTTTTATAGTGGTCATTGAGGTTGTCGCGCCGCGAGAAACTGCGTTGGCACCCAGGGACCCAGCAGACATGAGGTCTCGCTCCTGAATGGCTTGCCAGGTGGCGGTTCAAGGTCTTTTGGCGTTTGAATTGGCGCTTGCATCCCGAAAGTCTGCAATTGAATTGCTGCCCTGGGGTGCTGGCTTGTGAATCTCCGAGACCGAAATCGGAGGGATCTTGCGTGCGGATGGGATTGGGGGATTGTCGGAAGACTTGACAGGCCTCTGCAACCTGCGTATCTTGTCCAATGTGCTGCCCTCCCAGCCGCTCTATCCACGGATCATCGGTATTCTGTGGGGCTGGGAAGGGGCAGGTTCCGAACAAATTAGGCACAAGGTCAAAATGGCCAGGGGAAGCCTCCAAGGGTGAGTTCGATGGCTCCCAGATAGGCTGGTATCGAAACCAACAGACCACAGGCCGCCATCCGCAATGGCTGGAACCTGGAATTGAGCAACTCATTTGTTGACAAAGATGACCATGGTCTCTGGTTTGGCTGATGTGCAATGGGTGTGTCAAGCCATGAGAGATAGAGTCGCACTTTTCATGCTGGTGGAACTCCATGCCAGGCTGTTCGGTGGGTATGAGATCGATCAGGTCTTTTTGTTCGCTTCTGTCGCCGTAGAAAAGTAGTTTGTCGCTTGGGAATATCATATCCGTGTCACATGCTTCTGTTTGCGAGGATGTTGCCGTAGTTTGTTGTATCATCTGTGAACTGTCGCCCACACTAAGATGAATCGAGATTTCTGTGCCGAAAATGAGGCGAAAGTAGGAGGCATTCACCCCACTGTCAAGAGCGATGTCTGCGTACGGAAATCGATCACTAGTAAGTGAGACCTAGTGTGTATAGAGGAAGGTGTGGCCCCTTGAAATAACACGGACGAAACAAAAGGTAGAAAAGTCAGCAAAACTCGCACAGAAACCTAGAATACCTGAATCATCGCTGCTTGCCCACCCAAGTTGCTAAGTTGGCCCTCCCTTCAACAAATCCTATCGAAAACGATGTCTTGCCATTTGCTGTGCACGGTTTGATTTCAACGTGACCCTGGATTGTTGACAAAATACATGGACAACATATAAAGACGCCTGTTTGTGAGGCGAGATGGTCGTTGATTCAACGTTGACCAGACACCACCTGTGAGGCTAGTTCAATCCGGGCTTTTGCCGCCGACAACTAAGAATCAAGCAGACACGAGTGCCCGGCTTGATACAGAATTCCCGGTCTTTCACCAGTCGCTGACATGGTTGTGTCAGTTGTTGCTCACCGGTCCTGGCCAGCCAAATGCTTTCGAATTAAGAAATATAGCGCTTGAATTTATGTAGCCGTTGAAGCTGCGAGACATGATCCAACGCTGCTTGGACAACTTATTTGGCTACTAACATATTCATTAGCATGGGAATAGGGTTGATCAACGGCCGCAAATACCAAATAGCCATCAAAATCAAATAGATGACTGCGTTGAGACCCATACCTCTGTCGTAACACTAACAAGGTGACTACGTGTCTCCAGGTGGACTATAAGAGAGGCTATCATCCGGTACAGACTAATTTTTCTGAAATCATTTCTTTGCCCATTACGAAATGGATGCTCCAAGGAACGTACCGGACCAAAATAGTGAAGGATATCAGCAGCCGAGTGAACTGCCAATTCAGGTTGACAAAGGCCACCCAAAGGACGCTTCTGATTCCAACCCACGACAGGTAAGTTAGGTGCATCCCATACAGTGTCAGATCTTGTGGCTGACTACTGACATTCTCCCTCCCGTAGCTGGAAACCAACCAGAAAGAAACCCTGACGATCGAGCACTTTCAACCCATCTTGGCGACACTAGCAAATCTCGATCGCGACGATCCGAAACTAGCATTTCAAGCGGCTCGGTCTGTGGGGCTCTATCGACGTCTATGCGCATCATGTATGCCTAGGCACCTCAGTGGCGAGGATGTCGACCAGAAGCGTCAATTCCCGAAGGAGGCTAGCAATAACCCGAGCAAAGAGAGGAATGGACCTCAGCTTCCTCATGATGAGCAGCGATTACGACTGCTTTCCTTTGAGCAGGCTTTGGAATCATCGTGGGAACGAATGACTGTCGTGCTCAATGGCTGGAATCAATGCTCGAAAAGTAGTCTGGGCATGTTGGTGGATCTCAAAAGAACCGAATGAGGGGGTTGCCAATGGGAGTGTGCTATGTATTTCTTTACTGTCATGTAATGAACCAAACGGAGAACAAGACCCCGTACTCAAACGTAGTGTCAATCCTTTGACGAGGCTTTGTTTTATTTACAGAATGTCGTACAAAGCACATTGCCATTACGTGACTATTGACGACCTTGCGGACGTTCTTCAGAAAACAATGGAAACACAAGTACAGTCACATGCGTGCGTCACATTCATTTGTAGTTTTCCAGGAGATTATGTACAAAGAAGGATGGATCCAGGGATGGCGTCGTGGGTAGTGTCGCTAGCGGGGACAGAGTAGAGTGACCAGAATACGGTAGAGGTTCTGTGTGCGGCCACAAAGACAATTGGAAGGAAGGATGTATCGCTCCTACAGTGGCTAGGGATATGATGTCCAGGATCTGTCCACGTACCCGACGTAGATTCCCCATGGCCGTTTCAACACGGGGCAGGAAGAACAGATGCTCTCCCACCGTCTCGCCCGTTAACTGATGAAACCTTGCAAGCCTCAACTCCACCCAGAAGACCTCTTCAAAAAGAAAGAACGCCGACATGTAAAGGAAAAGGTCATCAGCCTGAGTGGCGAACGACAGAGGATCTGGGCCCGTCCACTTGAAGCCCGACTGGTTATCGTTGTCGGGGTGGAAGAAGCATTCGACCAAGGGGGATCCTTGTCCCTCGTGTGCTACAGACTTTGATCCATTCGGAAAGTCTAGCGCAATATCTTCGTGATCTGCGCAAAGACAAGGAGGCGGCGCCGGTATACAAGAGGACTCTCGCCAGATTGCGTGAAGGTCGAGATCGAAGTCGATATCTAGTCCGTTGTGAGCACAGGCACGCGGTGAAATGAAGTTATACGAACCATCTTGACCGGATTTGTCCATCTGCTTCAATTCTTTCCCGGTATAGTCGCTGGGGGTGGGTGGGTGGGGGATGTGGCCGCTGCGTTTGAACTGGCAGTGAAGGGTTGCTGGAGGT